CACCACACCTTCTCACCCCACAGGCACCCACCAGCCGCTCCCGCCCCTGCCTTCCCCCCCTCCCCCGCAGATCAAACTCTCCCCCTGCACCATCCTGCAGCCCCACACCCACCCGCACGCCGAATTCGTCTTCACCATCTCCGGTGTGCTGCCTGCACCGATTGGGCCCTACCATTGCCGCCGCGCTGCCGTCGCCGCCGCAGGCCAAATCCCCGCTCGCTGGGGCAGTGCCCGGCACCACTCCAACCACCCGCCTCCTGCCCAGCCGTCGCCGCGGACCCTGTCCCGCTTCCACCGTTCCCGCCACCACCACCGTTCCTGCCACCCCGCCCCGTTATTCCTGCAGGCAAGGTGGTCCACTCGACGCCCTACAACAACAAGACCCTGACCGGCGTGGTCTCCAACACCAAGGCCGCCCTTGCCAAGGGCTTTGCCGTCTTCCCCGCCGGTACGCCACGCCGCCAGCAGTGGGAGCGCACACACAATTACGCAGCTGTACCAGCCTCTGCCCCTTGCCTGTTTGACCCCCCCGCCGCCATCCCGCTGACCCACGCACCCGCCCGACATCCAGCCACCCCTCGCCTCGCTCCTCCCCACCCGCCACCTCACCTCACTGCCCCGCAGGCCAGCTGCACGTCACCCAGAACGACGCCTGCACTCCCGCTGAGCTGATCGCGTTCTTCCCCGCCCCCGCCCCCGACCTCTACTTCTACCCGTACACCGAGGTGAGCAGCTGGCTGTGCTGGCAGCCTGCCAGATGCCGCAGCTGGTGCTTGGTGGGCAGCTGGTGGTCACCTGCACACGGCCGGTGCCTGGCGGTGCCTGGCGACAGCCGGCCAGCACCGCCAGCTACCGGCCATGCAGGGGGGCCGGTGGAAGCGCACGAGCGCGGCGGCTGCATGCCAGGCCTCCATCCCAAGGAGGCAGCTGAGCTTGCCCATACTGAGCCCTGCGCCCGGCTCCGCTCACACTGCGCGCAGGCCTACCTGCCCGCCAACACCCTGGCCTCCTTCTTCGGCGGCAAGGTCAAGGCTGGTGACGCCTGGAAGCCCGTGGGGACCGCCAAGCTCGGTGAGCCTCTCTGCCTGCGCAGCATGCTGCTCAAGGTGTTGCTGGGTACCCAGCATTGAGTGTCTGGCGGCAGGCGTGGCTGGCAGCAGGTATTCTCTCGTCGCACAATCCCTGAGCAATGCCCCTCCCCTTGCCCGGTACCTGCTCTGCAGCCGGCTGCAGCTGCCCCAAGTAGAGAGCGGCTCCGAGGCCACTTTGCCGAGGCGAGCCTACAGTAGGTAGCTACCCAGCTTGCACGCAGAGAACCAAACGGGAGCGCCCCCGCTCCCGCCTCTAGACAGGCCGTACCATACAACCGCATGTGCATGTGCGCCGTGAACACTCTTCTGGAACTCCCCTCTTTCCCCACGGGCCTTGGATTGCGCCCAGCCTCAGACAACTGCCCCTCTGATCGTTCATTCCTGAAATGTTCCCCATTCATCAACATCATTCGTTCCAAGCCTGGCGCCAGCCGGTGGTGCCAGGGGGTCATGCCCCCTTTTGTGTTCCCAATCGTCTTGATCCTGTGTGTCTACCCAGCCAGTTTTGTAACCTAATGAATCATAAACCTGTGGCGGGGGAGTTGGAAAAACAAGGCAAACAGCAACCTGCAGCGTGGCGGCTTGGCATTCGCCAAGGCGGGGCCCACCACCCCGCCGTCCCAGTGGCGTCCAGCCGCTGCTGCAGCGCTTCTGCTGGCGAGACAGCATTCCTACCAGCCTGCTGCTGCGTTTTGCTGGCCTTGCAGAGCGGCTGAGAGGTAGATGAAATCCCTGTGATGGCTCCCAGTGTCAGCGGCGGCTCTGTGCAGTGGCAGAAGTCACGCAGCATACAATGTTGTATGGCAGGATTGCTGGATCGCGCAGAGAGCGTTCGCCAGCCAACGGTACTGCTGCGGCCACGATGTACACTTTCACCATGCGCCGGCAGGCGCATGCAGCCGTTCCAGCCATCATCTGAACCACGCCTGAGATTGCGGCACCAGGCCTGCGGCACGGCACCCTACCAGCGCTGATCACCTCGCTTCTCAGGCGCTCCAGGCAGGCGGCCCACCCCACTGGCACGCCCTGCATAGGCGGCTGGGATCGCTAGCCGGCCAATATGTTCCGCAACCAGGCAAGCCTTGATCGCCACTCTCCTGATCGCCACCCTCCTGAGTGCTCCGTTGCTGAGCCCACCGCCAGGCCCTGCACCGCGATCCGGCCGCATTGCTGCGCCTGCCCGGCGGGCGCCCGGCCGCTCGCACGGCCACTGGTGGCCCTCCCCCACCGCCGCCGCTCTTCGCACGCCTGCCCCCTGCAGTATGACACAGACGTCACCACATGGAGCCCCCAGGGCCGCATCTTCCAGATAGAGTACGCCATGGAGGCTGTGAAGCAGGGCAGCGCCGCGGTGGGCCTCAAGGTGCGGCGCTCCAGCTGGGCGGCGCCACCTGTCGCCAGCGGCTGCTGCTGAGTGGCGGCCAGTGGCGAGGCCGAGGCTGTCCCAGCTCCGCGTCTCGATGCGGGGGCAGGCTGTGCCTTGCCGCGGGCTGGCCCATGGGCTGTTGTGGCTGTCCAGGTGAGCCCCACGCCTGCCCCGACGCCTCCCGCGTTCCCCCCAACCGCAGAGCAACGAGTATGCTGTACTGGCCACGCTCAAGCGCGCCCCCAGCGAGCTCTCCTCCTACCAGCGCAAGGTGCGGCGCCGGGGCGGCTGCGGTTGGGGCAATCGTGAACGGCCGGGTGGCGGGTGGCGCACAGGAGTGGGGGGCGGGGACACGCGGCGTGCGCGCTCTGCAGCAGGTCCCGCCATGCCTGCCTGCCCGCCTCCCTCCCATGCCGTGGACCAACACTTCCCTGCCGTGACCCTCATCTTCCTTCCTTCCTTTCCTTCCTTCCTTCCTTCCTTCCTTCCTTCCTTCCTTCCTTCCTTCCTTCCTTCCTTCCTTCCTTCCTTCCTTCCTTCCTTCCTTCCTTCCTTCCTTCCTTCCTTCCTTCCTT